TCCATTTCACCTGTCCCACAATCTAAACTATGGTGATTTTAGATTCAAGATGCTGAATCAGGTATATCCCTAAAAACACATAATAAATCTAATAAACATGTGTACCTGCTACAAATAGCCAATGTATCTTTTTAAGTTCTTAATCCTCAAAATATAGTATCAGAGACATTAAAAATAAATATTTGGAATATTTCTTATAATATCCATTTGTATTTTATTTTAAAATCTTATTGTATATGTTGAAGGGAAAGGGATCAATTCAGATAATCAGCATGAAAAAATATAGATAATTAAATATAATCAATAAAAGTCTAATAGCCAAAGTATGGAAGGAATTTAAAAAAAAACCATGAAATCAAGAATTATTCCCCAATATAAAAATGGACAAAGATAAAAGTCATCACAAAGAAAAATTGCAAACTATAAATAACCATATGAAAATTGTTCTAAGTCATTAATTTTTTAAAATACATACTAAAACTACTCTACTTTTACACTTCAAATCCAAAAAAGTCAACAGAAAGATCCTGTATATACAAAAATGTCCATAATAGTACCTTTTAATAACAGTTAACTGGAAACAATGTGGTGATGACCAGCTAGAAAGTTGGAGACACACCATGGAGAATCTCAGAATGAATCAGGCTAAAGAATTTAGAATTTAGCATATAAGCAACATGGAAGATTGAATATTTTAAAACAGGAGAGTGACAAGATTAAATCAGTATTTGGGGGAAATAACTCAGCAGAGTACAAGATAGGATATAAAATAGGCTGGAGGCAACAAGATCACTTAGGATACTACTTTGATAGTTTATGTGGAACATGGATATATGGACCTTAACTAGAATGCTAGCAAGAGAAATGGAAAGGATGGATATGAGAAAAAAAATATGAAGGAAGAATCAACAGGAACTAGTGACTGTCTCAATATGAGGGATAAGAGAAGAGGGACAGAAAACAGCTAAGACAACTGTTATCTTCCACGTGCATAAAACCAAGAAATCATTCACCACAGCTTTAACCTTGACTGAACATTGTCCTGGACCTAGGCCACAGCTCTTTCTCAGCACCTTTCCCAAAACATTTCACACGCTTCTACAATTTCTGTTAACTGTTATCCTTATATTTAAATTTAAGGGTAAATGACAAAGAATATAGAAAAAATAATTCAATGTCTTTTGAAAAAAAATGCAATTAAATCCAATCCCTTTCTCAATAAACACCATCAGAAAAAAAAAGGATAAACTATGTGATAATAAACACTTGGTATTTCAAATGTGCCATTAACAATAAAAGAACTAAACTGCAGCACCACCTCCTGTTGCATGCAGGTAATTTCAGTTTTGAGGGGAAAAGCAACAATCAAATGATGCAAGGGAAAGTTACATAAACATAATTCATACATGAAAGTGGTCCTCAGAGTCTCGTGCATATGGTTTATGTTCATTTCAAATGTTTCAAGTTACTGAATCTTTCCTGTGAGTATAATTTTCAAACACATACACCTCATTTATTCACTTGTACTTTCCCTCCATTATATTTTTTTAATGGTCTTATTTTGAGCTAAAACCCCAACTTCAAGTAAAAATAACTTAAGGGTAGATTTTCTGACAAAAAAACAGAAGTCTTTCAGATTTGAAATAAAAATGAATACCATTACGTCCTAACTCAGTTTTGGAAGGTCTATTTTTTTTTAGTGGCAGGACTAAAATAAGAGGCTCTCTTTCACCACTTTCTATTCATTTTTAGCAGCTTTTCAAGGAAATCTGAATTAGTAGTAAGACAAAGTGTGTTGTTATGGCCATAAATATACAAAAGTCATTTATGTTAACATTACAGGAACTATGGGTATAAAAATCAGCCAGTGAGAATATAGCTAACAGTGACAATTTTCATTAAACTTTCTATAAAGGTGACCTGGACATGGCATTTAATAAATTAAATACAATAATTCTGTGTAATATAATCTGCACATACATGCATATATACATACATATATACCTACAGGTAGAAATACATACACACAAAAGCTACTAAAGCTAAAACTGCACTGAAACTTTTCAAACATCACATGTATATCACCTGATAGAAACCTGGATTATGATGCTTTCATTCCAATGAGTGACAGAATATTTATTTTAAATATTTAAATTTAACAAAAAAGGAAATTACACAACTTAAACTTCAAAGGAAAATCTATTAACACTTAAGAAATTCAGGCAAGCAAATTTAAAATGGAAAAATACCTACAATTCCCTGAGCTAGATTCTACAACTTCAGAGTCCTCCAAAAAACAGGGACTATGCCAGCCTGAAATGGGTAATTAGGCAGGAAAAGCAAATAGATGAAAAGATCAAGATTCTCAAAACACCAAGTATTTTGAGAGTGAACAGAAAAAGCACAGCTCCAAAAACCCCCAAATTCATTTATTAAGGGATGGTTTAGTGAAAAGGTAAATTGAACAAATATCTAAATAGCCTTACCTAATGTATATTAAGGTTGTTCTCTATTATAAGAGATTAAGCCTTGACCTTAGCTCACATAAGTCAGGATCACAATGCTGACCCCAGACAGCTTAGAAGCAGACACACAGGCTATCTGCTGCCCAGGCCAACGGCAGGAAGGCATGAAGCTCATCTGGCCAAGTGTGGTCCGTTATCAGATGACTAGGACAATTTTTTTTGTATTTGAAAATGTGATGAAATAACTATGTATGCCTCTGTATCTTGCTTTTTAATGTCATTAGAGGTGACAAAAGATAACATGAGAATAGGAATAAAAAGTTTTTGTCTTCTATACTACCAACCATAGGTGCACTGCATATTAGTAACCTTTGATTTCTTCCACAAAAATTAAGGCACTGGGGGGAAGTGAAACATCCTACATAACTAGAAAATAAAGTGCTTTTTTTCCCCAAATGTTTTAAGCTAAAAATATCAATGTATTTCAAATAGGTATATATTACACAAGAATAAACAATTAATAGGACGTTTGGGGCTGAAAGAACATCACTGCTGAGGATGGCTATCCCAAAGCAATAATAACAAAGGTCCAATACCTATTCTGAGTTTATGGAGACTTCAGACATCAAGCCTTGACTCAGCCTGATTTATCTTGCTTCATTTTTTATTTATTTAATAAATAAATACATTTAATAAATAAATAATGTCACAACCTTCAAGATATCCCCTACTTACTCCCTTGGGTCTCTTACATTTCTATCTGGAAATACTGAACATCAGGGGGGAAAAACAAGGTAACATACATCTGTTACTAATGCTGAAATACAAAACATAATTTTGTTTTTCCATTTTTACCTTGATTTTGAAATTCCCTAGCATACTTGAATACTGACTTGAATCTATAGTGACAGTCAAAATGCAGCTGAAAATTACAATATTATATGCATATAATATTATGTAGCACAATGTTATATAGCACATAATCTAAATTATAGTCCATTGTACAATCACTGTATAATGATTATAACAATAGCATCATCTAGATTCCATGAAGTTTTGGATTAGATGTTTCTTCTACAAATATTCTAGAAAATCAGCTTTCACTGACATTCAAATTTAAGCTCTTATTTACACAATTTCACATAGCTTAATAGGTTAAAAATATTTAATAAATGTGGGGAAATACCATTTCTTCCATTTTTTCTTTAACTTAAATTGAGCAAATTCTATACAGCCATAACTCCATTTTCTTTGAAAATACATCAGCTATGAATTCAATATGCTCATTCTTCTATCTAAAAGTTTCTTATATCTCTCATTACTATCATCAGAGCTCCCTTTGATAACAATACACGAATAAGACTCCTTCATAATTAACTCCGCAGTTTTCAGCACGAACGTCATTTCTAATTATGAATACACAAATCGCAAATAACCTCAATTTATTAAACATTTACTAACTACCTATTATGTGCAAAAGCACTAGAGAAAATAGTTCACAGTCTAGCAGGGGTTATAAAACATGTGGACAAAACCAAATCAGAATATAATTGTACATAAAAGAAATATAATGGAATATGAAATTGATGGGTTAGGTGAGAGTTCTAGAGAGGTGATGAGAATGCAGGTATAGAAAACAGTAAGGTGAATAAGCTTGCAGAGACAGGATCATATGGGCTTTCAAAGATTCAGCACATTGAACCAATCCAAGAATATATATTGCTTAATTCAAAATAAGCATAGTGTTTTTCATAATAACATGAAACACCCTCATAAAGTTTTTGAATCAAGGCACTGAATCTTTAAAAGTTTACTATCTTGTTATTTTTAAATATGTTTTCAGTAACCTGAAAACTATATCTTCCACATAATATTTCTCAACTGGTCTCAACAACAAAAAAAATCACTTCCTTCTGAGCCTGAGACTCCAATAGTTCCTAATCTTGATACACATAACATCTTAAACATACTTTATATATGTCTTTGTCAAATAATTACAAGTCTACTAGTCTATTGCCTATGTCCTCATCAGTTTCTTTCATCAGTATGGAAACTCTTAAAAGGCAAAGACTATCCATAGTATTCTTTAAAGCACAGTAAAATAGAAGTATGTATACTTAATAAATACTTAAGTATTTATTAGCATTATAATATCCTAAATCCTCAGGCTAGAAAGGGCCTTCAACTCATTTCATCAAACTCCCTTCTTCAGAAATGAGGAAACTGAGACCCAGAGAAGAGAAACAACTAATCCAAGGTCACCCAGATAGTGCTCAGGAGAGCAGGGAATAAAACCCAGGGTCCGAGACTTTTAGTCAAGTGCTCTCACCACTCTACTATTCAGTCTCTCCTCTTCGTTGATGACAAAAACATTTAGAAGTACCAATAACTGGAATAAAAGAAAGCAATTCTACATCTCTAAAGCTGACTTTTCTAATATTAAAAGCATACTCAAACTATGAACTCAGTATGTTTCTTGAAATATCAAGTACACTTAAATAATTTTCTATTCCATTTTTTTCTACTTAATCTTACCAGTATCCATTTGCCAGACATATACAGAGCCATCTGAACAGCCAACCACTAAGTAATCATCTGAAGGCCTCCACTTTATTACTTGGATGGGAAAAAGATGACGAGATGCCAACATGATACATTTTTTCTCTCTCAAACTCAGAAGTCCTACAGAATGGTCACTGGCTACAGAGCAGATGCAGTGTTGCACTCTTGTCTGAAAAGGAAAATAAATCTTGATTATGTTTTAAAATAATAAAGAATTAGAATTGTAATTTATTACTTGAAAGAATTAACTGTATAGTCACCATTGCCAAGTCATAACATTAATGGTAATGAAAAATTATTCCCTATATATTACACAAGTACAATTAAACATTATGACATACTGAGGAAATTACTTAATATTAGGATTAAAGGACATTTAATATTGCTACTTTTACCAAATAAATATTACTCTACTACATATGTACAGTTGAAGATGAGGAGGAAAAAACTATGTGTGATTGTGAGTCCTTTCCAGAGCCCATTTTCTTTTTGCAACTTAACTTTTTTAAATTGTGTATTTCCTCCAAACCCCGTGTTGAAAAATAATAAGCAACACCATTTTTAAAGACTATCAATCCTCTTTCTGTTGCTGCCATTCTGAATAAGCCCAGAACTATATCATATTATTTTAAATCTATGCTTCATTTTTAAAGGATGAAATTATCATTATGGTAGCTAGGAAACTAATAGTCACTCTGATTTTGACAGGGAGAAAAACCCCAGCATATATTAATATAACTGAAGTACCCCATCACTACCATGCCAGGCTTGTGATATTTCCCAAACTCATTTCTTCTTTCTAGGTCTGAAGTTTCAAAGAATATTATTCAATTACAGTAGCCTTCCTGATGGGTAAATGTCTTCACCCAAGGTGGGTGAGGCAGCCACTGAGCAATAGGGAACAGCAAACTTCTCATAAAGAGAAGCAATTGGTTATTACCACAAAGCCTTTAGATCACAAGAAGGTCTGTAGAAAGCAGCCGATGGTAGTGGTTCCAGACAAAGTATGAGGAAATATGTCAATGCCCCCCCCAAAAAAAACCCATTCCACATGAAATTCAATTTGAATTAGCAACGTGGAAGTGCTAACATCTTCTGGCCACATTTTCCTGAAGACAGAAAATAACTTGGGGTCAAAGAGAGGCTAGGGTAGTAACAACTGTGGTTCCTTTTCAGGAGAGTTTCTATCTAGGTAATACTTGTCATCATTTATATACTTCAAACATGGCAACAACTTTGAAAAACACTGTCTGTTCCAATCTGTTTTACCCTACAGGAAAAAAGGGGGAGAAGGGGCCAAGAGAGCAGGGGAATGATAGAGAGGAGGGCAGATTGGGAAAGGGTGTAATCTGAAGCAAACACTTCTGAGGAGAGACAGGGTCAAAAGAAAGAATAGAATAAATGAGGGAGGCGGAATAGGATTAAGGGAAATAGAGTTAGTTTTTCACAACATGACTACTATGGAAGTGTTTTGCATAACTGCACATGTATAACCTATATTGAGTTGCTTGCCTTTTCAATGAGGGTGGGTGGGAAGGGAGGAAGGGAGAAAATTTGGAACCCAAAGTTTTAAAAACACATGTTTTTAAAAAATATATTTTCACATGCAACTGGGAAATAAGAAATACAGGAAATGGAGTACAGAAATCTATCCTACCCTACAGGAAAATAGAAGGGGAAGAGGATAAGAGAAGGGGGGAGAGATAGAAGGGAGGGCAGACTAGGGGAAGGGATATTCAGAATGCATGCCATCTTGGGGTGGGGGAGGAGCAAGATGGGGAGAAAATTTGGAACTCAAAATCTTGTGGAAGTAAATGCTGAAAACTAAAAATAAATAAATAAATAAATAAATAAATAAAAAACACTGTCTGTTCCAAAGAGGAAAAAAGATTCTCAGTTTACAAAGTAAGAGAAATATTATGTAGAAAGTAGTCATTGAACTCTACAACACAGGAAATATAATTGGTGATTACTGTGCAAAATGAATGTCAGAGTAATTAATGGATATAACTATGTATTTCATTTTCAAACATGTGCATTGGCATTGCAAAGTGAAGAAATCCTGGTGAGTTGTTCCCTCTACTAAAAGAGATTAGCAGCTTCTCAACAACTTAGATTCTTAAAAAGTTAACCTGCCATCACTGAGAAGTAAAGTAGTTGGCTTAAGGGTCACAAAGCTAGTGTGTGGTAGAGACTAGACTAGAACTGAGTCCCTATACACTCTGTCCCACTGCTTCTCTACAGGTAGCTCACTCATTTCTGAAAGTAAAAAAATAGTTCTATAAGTTCAGAAACTGATATTTTTTCCTATTAAAAGATGACTTTCAAAAAAGGATCATATAGCATTTCTATAAATGAGTATTTATAACATCTATTGATTTCATTTTCATTAATAAGCAATTAGTCAAAATATAAACTGAGGTTTCTGTCCATAAAAAAAAAATCAATAAAATCAATGTCTTCTTCAATGAGCTAAAGGATTATGGCTCTTTCATATTTGCTTTTAGCTAGCATGGAAAACATGGCTATATAATTAATAAACCACAATGCAAAGACAAACCAAAAACTATTTAAATCCTAACAATACTGTAATAAGATATTTGGGAATAATTTTCTGTCATAGCTTCAATTTTAATCATTTCACAATACATAATATAAATATTTTATATATTTTGCCATACACACATAGCAAATACAAAACAAAAATGAGGGGATATTAATACTGCAAGTGCTTTGTTCATCCATATAGTAGTTTTCAGTAATCATAAGACTGGCAGATTAATACTGCAAAACAAAGATAACAGCTATTTTCTATTATACAACTTTTCATTGCAAAATAGTTAACATATTTGACAAGCATTTTTAAATATGTTTTATATTAGAAAGTAATGTTTCTAATGGTCATCATTTTCTAAAGACAGTGGCTAAAATGACCACTTTATTACCCATAGTAATGTACTCTGAGGGATGCTAGACTAAGTTTTTAATCAGTATATAATGAGGGTGGTAGAGAAGAGATTCATAAAAATTAAGACTACATTACTACTATTCTAACATGGCACATATTTAGGCAGCTGAATTCAAAAGTATAGTTTTCCACTTCATTGAGACTGTGCAACAACTAACGAGAATTAGCATGTAACTGTCCCCTCTTTAAAAAAAAAAGACAATACTCAACAGAAAAGAAAAGAAAAATTGCATACAACTACTGTAAATAATAAAGAACAACTGATGAGTTTATTTTAGCTTCACTGTAAGAAGTAACAGTCTAGAGAGAACCAAAATAATCAAGAATGAAAATAAAGAATCAATACTACTATCCCTAAGAAAGCATAGATAGTTAGAAGTATTTAATGCATGAAAAAAGAATTGGTTCTGATGTTTCAAATTTGGATTAAATAAATCTCATTTTTCTTCTCTCTAGAAACTTATACTCTTACCTGCATTGGGGGATGGGGAAAGCAGCCAAGAGAGAAAACATGACAATACAGTGAAAGTTTATAAATTTAGACACCACTAATTAATTCTGGCCTGAGGCCTGCTATCATACATACACACTCCACAAACAAATTAACAGTATAAACAGCAAATCTTAAGCCTACTTAACCATAAAAGTATAATAAACTGTTTTCAAGCACCATTAAAGCATCAATTTGAATTCAAAATTTATTGCAAACATTTGTTGCAATGTTTGTCATTTTAAAACAATGAATATCAGAAACATAACAACTATTCATTCAATTATAATTAGAAATATTCTTATTATCAAGAAGCAGCATGTATACTAGATAAATAGCTGCCCTGAGACTCAAGATGACTGGGGTTTAAGTCCCATCTATGACATCCAGGCTATGTGACATTAGTATAAAAAATATGTACATTCTTATTAATAATTCAGTCATAAGAATATAAGCTGGAAGTATGCTCAGAAGTCAGTCTAGTATGACCCTCATTTTACAGATGAGAAAACTGAAGCCCAGCAGAACCCAGGATATCCTGGTTCCAAATCCAGTGCTCCTTTCATTATACCATAATGCCTCTCAATATGAATCCACCCTAAAAAAAAATCTCTTAAGACATTTAACCTCTTATCACCAGTACATTCAGAATTGAAAATAATAAAACTGGGGGGGGGGGGAGTCAAGATGGCAGAGTAAAAGCAGTGACTTGTTTCAGCTCTCCCCCAAACTCCCCCAAATACCTATAAAAATGGCTCTAAACAAATTCTAGAGCAGCAGAACTCACAAAAAGACAGAGTGAAACATATTTCCAGCCCAATACAACCTGAATGGTTGATTGGAAAGGTCTATTGTGCCAGGACACGAGAGGAATGCAATTCAGTGTAGGCAGAGAAGGCAAAGACCACGCCCCAGAGAACCTGGAGCAGGTGTCAGGGGACTCAATCACAGGCAGCTGTGGAGGTTTCCAGACTTTTCAACCCACAAATGCCAAAGACAACTTAGAAGGTCAGTAGAAAAGGGCTGTGGCCACTATGAGAGAGATCAGTCCCAGTCCCCGTTATGGAGCAACCCCGGGGTGGCAGCTGCTTCCCAAGCTCTCGGCTCACAGACTAAAGGGGAATTGAGTGGCTGATCAGAGGGGGATTGCAGGGATCTCTTTACTGGTGTTGAGGTAGGATTCTCTTGCTCTGCCCATGCTTGTATCTGGGTCACAGTTCTGAGGGGCAGTCCTGGGGCAAGGAGGAGTGCTGGCGTGGTAGAGCTTGTAGTGGCAGTAGAGAGCGAACCCTCCTTACAGTTCCAAGGCAGAAAAAAATGCTTGTGGTCATTCATAGACCAGAGCACAGGCCAGGAAAGGAGTAAACACCTTGCTTTTGATCATACCACCTTGGAAGAACTGAAAATGTACAGGTCCCTAGCAGTATCTCTGAAAACAGCTGCACAAAGCCCCCAAAGTTTGGGACAGTACATTCTCCACAATGGAAGAAGACCCTACCTTAACAAAGAGTTTATAACTCAAGTAACTGGCTGGGATCATGAGCAAACTGCACAAAAAAAAAAAGTCAGATCACAGAATCTGTCTTTGGTGACAAAGAAGACCAAAACATACAACTAGAAGAAGAAAACAAAGTCAAAACTCCTATATTCAAAGCCTCCAAGAAACATATGAATTGGTCACAGGCCATGGAGGAGCTTAAAAAGGATTTTT